CTCCTCCTTCCTCCTCTCCATCCTCCTCCCCTCCTCCTCCTCCTCCTCCTCCTCCTCCTCCTCCTCCTCCTCCTCCTCCTCCTTCTTCTTCTTCTTCTTCTTCTTCTTTGCTTTTGGTCTCAAACTCATGGAAATCATGAAATTGATCTTCACTGACACTTCCATCTGTGTTAGAACATCACTTGGGAAGAGAAGAATCCCAGATTTGCTGGGGAGTCACATATTTCTTACTGCTAAGCATGCTGAAAAAGGATGACTGAAATTGCATTCCCACAATGCACCACTGGCTCCCCGATTTTTTTTATATGGTGCACACTGACCATGGAGACCCATTCTCTCACATGTGGGCCTACCAGCTTTCTCCTGCTTGATTTGAAGCTGCTAGAATTTATGCGTATAAATACGTCAGAAACAGTGGCGCGTAAGACGTATATGTACGGCGTAAACAGTCAAAGGGTTAATGGATAATGTACTGTGTAGGTGCTTTACATAATGAGAAGCATTTCTTTTATTCATTGGAACCATGGCTAGGGCTAAAAATAAGCAGGTTAAAACAATAAATGGAGAAAAAGAAATTGGAATGACTTATGCAGCAAGTAGTGCCACCAAACAGTACCAGCAGGTTGGTGTGGAGACCCTGGAAATTTGAAATTATGCTAGCCAAAATTAGTGCCGAATAACTGAAGGAACCGAATAACTGATTGCCGGATTTGTGATGGCGGACCCGTACATACACCCACAGTATAAAAATTGACATAAATACTATGAGATTTGTTTACGAAGCGGTATGTACAAGTGTCAGAAGAATTACGTTTTCTCTAGTGAACTGTAGAAAAATATTCCTGTCGTATGCCTTCGCTCTATCTACAGCTATTCACGACCGTTGTGGGTTTAGTGCTTCTCTTTTATTTTGATAATAATAATAATAATAATAATAATAATATCATTCACTCTAAAAATGGTGTGTTGCATGAGAATGGAAGTGTTGCTGCTTATTTATTCTGTACTAACTTGTCAGAGCATCATTCCTTCTAAAAATGATGTTACTTGAGAATTGAAGTGTTGATCTTTATTTATTCTATTGTACCACTGTGGAGACACCTTGTACACAATGTAAGGTGTTCGTATGAATGTGTATGAGCCATAACCAGACGCTTCGTCCATTTGTTTACATAGTACTCTGCGTGGGTGGGGTGGCCAGGTGGGCTACCCTGCCTCTCACACCTGACTTTCTACAAATAAATACTTTTTACCTCTCACCCTACATTAAGACCATTAAGACTACAAATATTTTAAGGTAAGTAATGAGTTTACTGTATATGCATTTTATCACTCTAGGGCACTATAAGCATTGTGTGGGTGGGGTGGCCCTACTGGCCACCCCACCCACGTGGTGGAGGAGAATCCTCCACCACGATGCTGTGGACACTAACTCCAAGGCCGAGGGACTGATTACCTCATCTTTTGTATATAGTTCTACTGTCTTCCTATTATGTCCTAGAATCTGTATTGATAAAGCCACTGGATGGCGAAACGTCTGCAATAAAGATATCCAGATGTTGCACATGTGTCTTAACTTTCAAAATGGAACTATGTAGAGGTTTGTGAAGAATGTGCATTGTCCAGGAAATCATTGTAAAAGGCTTCAGTAAATTTTACAGTACATACTGTAAATTTATTGATGCAGTACATTATGGTGCACTGTAAAATCTTATGTTCTATACATTTTGTACATTATTGGAGTATGTACTTTTTTCAGGCTTACATCAAATTTTCTGGAGCACCAGTGAATATTGTAAAATCAAGTAACCCATTTAAGTCACCTACTGGTCAGCTCCCAGTCTTTAAATGCTCCGAGGGGACTTTCTCAGAGTTTTCTCAAGTTACCACATTCCTTCGAAAACAGGTAAATTTGACTACTGAGAATAATCCAGACATATTTGTTTTCTCTTTTTATTAATGCTCTTCACAAGTAAAGATTGTTGGAGGGTAAAGTTATTGTTACACTATCAGTAACTGAATGTATTAGGCAGTTACATATGGGAAAATATTCTCTCTTAGGTTTTTATCAGAGATTCATTTTTCTAGTCACACTCAGTGTTACCAGTTGTGTACTTAATTAATTTATTTTTAAAGTTATCTCTGTTCTTTATGACCATTCTTATCCTATGAATGTACATACAAACATATTTGCAAGATTAAAGAGCTGTGGTCTCAGGAACATAAAATGAGAATTAATATAAAGAATGTATGATATTAACCATTTCAGGGTCCGTGCCGTAGTTTTATGGCTTTGAGTTGTGGGCCCAAACCATAGAACTATTCCAAAATTCTAGTGGCCTCAAATTTAGCTCGAGAAGGTTGGTAGGTCTTAGATGTAAGCCTGCATGGTCAGTGTGCGCACTAGACAAAAAATCTGGATGCCCACACGGCATTGTGGGAACACAGCCAAAGTAGCACAAAGTAGTACAAAGGAGTTCATCCTGAAGTACATCCCGTGGCCCTACACCAGGAATAGACAGTGAAAGTGAGGATGACGTGGCTACACTTGGCATGGATAGACCACAGGCAGCAGTAGGTGGTGGTATGGGTGGTGATAGTGGTAGTGGTGATGGTAGTGCCATGGCCATGCATGACTCGCTAGCCCAGGCTGGGACCCACGCTGCTGACTCCTCAGCTCAAGGACAAAGCGGAGCATCAGCCACCACCCCACCACAACTAAAACTACAACCACAACCAGCTTATGATGTCCAGTATCCACCAGCAAACCGAATCTGGGATTGGCAGCAAAATCCCAATTTTGTTCCCAAGCCCCACCAGTTTGATGACTCTTAAAGTGGAATTCTACCAACTTGTCCCCTTGGAAACATTGCAAATGAACTAGAATTCTTCGAACTATTCTTTGACCAGCCCTTGTTGGAAACTATTGTCAGGGAAAGTAACAAGTATTTTGAGTACACCATGGCAAATATGATCATATCACCACAGTCAAGACTACACCAGTGGAAAAAGACAACTGTGGCTGAAATGTATTTGCTTTATCCAACAATAATGTGTATGCCTCATGTCTATAAGCATAATGTAAAATCGTACTGGTCCACAGATCGGCTAATTTGTACCCCGGCCTTCAGTGAAAACATCCCAGTGAACAGGTTTATCATACTGTTACGTATGTTGCACTTCTCAGGCCAAACCAGGCCTGATAGAAGTGACAGGTTATACAAGATAAGAAATGTTTTAATGTACAGTAGATCGTCATTTAGCATGAGTTTATGCGGCACAATTTGGGCATTGCACGATTGAAGAATTGCGGCACAATTTTATGTAACACGTCGTAAGATGAATTTAACACGGTTCAGTTTGCGGCTGCCTTGTGGATCAGCGGGGGAGACCGTCCTCAGCCACCCCCTGACACCACCCCGCCATCCCTGCATTCATACTTCATATGTGTCCAGTCCAACTTCTCTGCTACAAGCTTGTGATAGTGAATTGTGTTTTGATCCTTTAATTGCTATATTTTGTATCTGCCAAGCAATCATGACACCCAGAAGGCACAACAGTGTTGCTCAGAGTGGCAAGAAATGGTGTAAGCATTTAAGTCTTAGAATTAACGAAAGAAACAAAGATATTAGACAAGACAACCTGTGGCCATAATGAAGTGTTACTTTGTACACATAAAAAAGAGGTAAACATAAGTTTGTGTGCCTGACTGACTTACTGAATGACTGCCTTATTGAGTGACTCGACTGACTTACTGAGTGACTTGACTGACTTACTGAATGATTGACCGACTTACTGAATGTCCTGACTGACATACTGAATGAACTGAATGACTGAATGATTTGACTGACGTAATGACTTGAGACTTACTGAATCACTTGACTGACTTATTGAATCACTTGGCTGACTTGCTGAATGACTTGACTGATTTACTGAATGACTTGGCTGACTTACTGAATGACTTGACTGACTTACTGAATCACTTGGCTGACTTACTGAATCACTTGGCTGACTTAATCACTTGAGATTTACTGAATCACTTGAAACTTCCTGGTTCACTTGAAACTTCCTGATTCACTTGACTGACTTACTGAATGACTTGACTGACTTACTGAATGACTTGACTGACTTACTGAATGACTTTGACTTACTGAATGACTTGACTGACTTGCTGGACCACTTGACTGACTTACTGAATGACTTGACTAACTTACTGAATGACTTGATTGACTTACTGAATGACTTGACTGACTGAATGACAAAGTTAGACACTCAGTACAACCATCAACTTCATTACCAGAACCTCTACCATCCAACTCAGCCCAGTAGGACCACAACATAACTCTCCACTCTCTTCACAATCATCCACGAACACCAGCACCTACAATTTCAGGTAAGAAATGCTATTGTTTCTGCTACATTTGTAGTCTTAATCAGTAAAAACAACATAATACATCACAACAATGAACTACAATTACAAATTCACTTTTATTTTTATAAGATGTGGTGGCCTAAAAAAAGTTTTGGCTTTTTTGGGGCTCTCAAGAACGTAATCCTATTTTTTCCATAAGTTCTTCAGTTCATCTCACATGGTTTGACCTAATGCAGTGTTTTCAGGAACATAACCAGCGTGTTAAATAACAGTCTACTGTATCTGAAGCACAAGTTCAGCATGTACTTTTATCCATTCAAGAATCTTGTAATTGACAAGTCTTTGATTTTGTTCAGAGGTAGACTGTCATTCAAGCAGTATATACCAAGGAAGAGGAAACACTTTGGTATAAAAGTGTTTGTACTCTGTGACTGTGGCCTGGTATTGGATATTATTGTATACACAGGAAGTAAAACATTGAAAGATACCAAGTTGTTATTGGGTATCTCAGGTGATGTAGTAAGAAGCATGATGGCACCTTATCTTGGTAAGGAGCATACATTATATACTGATAACTGGTACACAAGCCCTTTACTCAGTGATTTCTTGCAAGTGAACATGACAGATGCGTGTGGCATAGTGCATTCTAATCGTAAACATATGCCCAGGTTCAACGCAGGCACTCGTAGAGGTGAGGTGCAGGTGTTTACTGCCAATGACATCATGGCATTATGGTGGCATGACAAATGAGATGTCACTTTGTTGACAACCATTCATCCTAACAAATTGCAAGACAGTGGCAAAGCTGATAGTGACTAATAAACGTATTCGAAAACCAGTGACAGTGATTGATTATACACAAATCATGCATTTGGTTGACAAATGTGACATGCAGATAGGCTTTGTTGATTGTGTTCGTAAGAGTTACAAGTGGTACATGAAACTTTTCTTCCATCTCATGGACATTTCAATGCTCAATGCATATAATTTGTACCGAAGGAAGACCGGCAACAAACCAGCGTATGGTGAATTTTGTCTGTCTGTTGTCAGACAACTCATAATGAAATACCAGGTAACAACACCTGCTGTACAAAACCGTCCTCGAACTCCTCAGGATATACCCAAGCGTTTGAGGAGGGAAGGTGATCACTTCACAATACAGCTTCCTGCAACTAAGAAGAAGTTTTCTCAGAAGAGATGTGTTGTCTGTGCACAAACAAAACGACGGCAATGTAAGGAATGTAAGATGCCTCTGTGCAAGGCACCTTGTTTCAAGGACTTCCACAGACTGCAGCAGTTCTAGAAACATGTCCAGTGACTGTACATATGTAAATATATATAATAAAACATTAGTATTATACAACATTTGTGCATGTTTATTGTAGTAAACAATAGTGGTAAACAATATTATAATAATAACTTTAGTGCAGTTATTGTGTTCAATACAGTGAGTGTATATACATACATTACATACAGTATTGGTCTCACAGGCCACAAATGTTACTAGAAAAAAAGAAAAAAATAGTAAAGAAAAGAAAAAAGTATAAATAGTGTAAAATAAAGAAATGCGATTTTGTGGAAGTTGCTGATGTTGCCGCCACCCGGTCATTTTGGGTCAATTTCCCACCTCTATATCTCGGTAAGTACTGATCAGAATTTTTTTTGTTTTATTACCTTCACAAAAATATTATCTTTAATTCTGTTTTTTTTTTTTTTTTTTTTTTTTTTTTTTTTTTTTTTTTTTTTTTTTTTTTTTTTTTTCAAAATTTCTTGGACACTGGGGCACACCCCTTCAGATTTTGCCTTTGGACCCTGAAAGCGTTAAATCTCTCAAACCAACCTTTGCTGGCCTTGAATTCAATAACATCACCACTAGTTACAGGCATTTTTTCAATTAAATTGTCATGCAACTGCTGTGCCTTTTCACATATGATTGATTGGGAGATACTATCTCCTGATATCTGTTTTTCATTTATCCACAACAACAACAGTCTCTCAACATCTTCGAGTACTTGCGATCTCTGTTTTGAAAACATACTTGCACCTTTCGCAACAACAGCTTCCTTGATTGCCTGGTTAGCTCAGAGACACGTACTCCACTCTCATACTTTGTGATTATCTCTTTCTTCAATTCAGTTGTAATTCTCACCCTTTTTACCACAGGGTTGGCACTAGAAGCTTTCTTTGGGCCATGGTGACTTATTTAGCAGTTACAAGCACTAAAAACACTGGAATAATACAAAATGTACCAAATGTATGTGTGGAAGCGACCGCACTGGCTGGTAAACACTGACACACTAACTGAAGGCATGGCAGCTAAGGCACACTCAGGCCAGACGGACACATGGATGCATTCGGGACGAATGATGTTGGTCGAGTTTTTCATCGTTGGTCGGGTCAAAATTTTTACGCTAACATGTTTCGTTAGGCGATTTTTTTGTTAGACTATGCTTTCGTTGGTCGGGGATCCACTGTATATACGTTTGGGGCGCTAGCAGTAAGATTGTATGTATACGTTTGGACCATTTAGGGGTTAAATTCTTGAGATTTGGCCTCTGGACCCTGAAAGGGTTAATAAGCTTTTCTAACTTTGGATAAATGGGTATCCATGTTTAGTTTGAACTTGGATTATGTTTGCAAACTGCTGTACAAAATCCCCAGTGCTGTATAACTTTAGTGGGTTTAGCACTTCTTTTTGATTTTTTTTTTTTTTTTTTTATTATCACACTGTCCGATTCCCACCAAGGCAGGGTGGCCCGAAAAAGAAAAACTTTCACCATCATTCACTCCATCACTGTCTTGCCAGAAGGGTGCTTTACACAACAATTTTTAAACTGCAACATTAACACCCCTCCTTCAGAGTGCAGGCACTGTACTTCCCATCTCCAGGACTCAAGTCCGGCCTGCCGGTTTCCCTGAATCCCTTCATAAATGTTACTTTGCTCACACTCCAACAGCACGTCATGTATTAAAAACCATTTGTCTCCATTCACTCCTATCAAACACGCTCACGCATGCCTGCTGGAAGTCCAAGCCCCTCGCACACAAAACCTCCTTTACCCCCTCCCTCCAACCTTTCCTAGGCCGACCCCTCCCCCCGCCTTCCTTCCACTACAGACTGATACACTCTTGAAGTTATTCTGTTTCGCTCCATTCTCTCCACATGTCCGAACCACCTCAACAACCCCTCCTCAGCCCTCTGGACAACAGTTTTGGTAATCCCGCACCTCCTCCTAACTTCCAAACTACGAATTCTCTGCATTATATTCACACCACACATTGCCCTCAGACATGACATCTCCACTGCCTCCAGCCTTCTCCTCGCTGCAACATTCATCACCCATGCTTCACACCCATATAAGAGTGTTGGTAAAACTATACTCTCATACATTCCCCTCTTTGCCTCCAAGGACAAGGTTCTTTGTTCTTTTTGATTATAATAATAATATACAAAATCCCAAGTCTGCCACTTCATACTCTGTCAGATATCCATAATCCAAGATAGCATCCAAATAGTAACTATCGCTTTTGCCGTAATATGGCCAAATTTTGCCACTTTGCATAAAACAGTTGTCCCATAAATAGATGTGTTTACAATGGTTCTAGTAGTTTGCCTAAGCACATATGGTGCTGAAATACAGACAGTGCTGGATTACAGAATCTGCTTAAGTCTAACTGCTGTATAGTCCTTTACATATATTTTTTCTTTATGATTTATTTTTCATTGCACATTGATTAATCTTAATTTGTTTGTCAGAATTTCAGTTGTGATTACGAGCTGTCACCCAAGCAATGCTCAGAGGTAGTGGCATATGAACATCTATTATTAGAAAAATTATACCCAGCACTTGTGTATCTTTGGTAAGTTTTCAAATAAATATTATACTAATTAGCATATAGTGGAAATGTCAAAATATAGAAGGAATCAAAGGCAAATTATTATAGTGGAGAAAACATTTTTTGGTATTGGAAGGAAATATGTCATATCATGGGGAAATTTCAAGTAGGGTGTGCACAAGATCAATGCTTGCACAATAATGTTTCTGATTCATTTAAATGACTTTACAGAAAGAATAAACAATTATATGAGCATGTTTACACAATATGCTAATGTCCTATATAAAATAATTACATTATTTTCACTACAGTGATAAACATGTATTTCTCATCTAGTGTTCTATGTAAAATGTGCATGGTAGTGCCTATTAAAAATTAATTAATCCTTACAGGAAATTAATAAATTAAGGAAGTAGAGTGGTATATGACATGGAATTTAACCCCTTGACTGTTTCGGTCATATATATACGTCTTACAAGATACTGTGTTTTCATTGGTATCTATACGCATAAATTTAGCGGCCTCAATTCAGCGGTGAGAGGGCTGGTAGGCTACGTGAGAGGGAATGGGTACAAGTGGTGGGTGTGCACCCTGTGAAAAAAATCTGGGACTCAGCGATGCATTGTGGGAACGCCATATTGGTAGTCCATTTTCTCCATGCCTCGCGGGTAAGTCAAAGCTACCTCGGCTCCTCGGCAGAGATTGGAGGTCAGTGGTAAGTGAAAATTCCATGGTTTTCAAGCAGTGATGTAGGTGACACACAGGGCAACAAAACAGTTGCCCTGGGATACGTTAAATTAGTGTATGGAAGGTCCACAGGATGACCCACAACGACCACTCTGGTGTTGGGCCGGCTCGTTCCTTGTATCACCTGTAGCAGGACGAAAGAGGGGAAAACTATTTGCCCATGTTACAAGATCGATGTGGAGCAGTGAAAATGTGTGATAGTTATTTCCAAGCTATTGAAAGCATTTCTAGTTGGCGACAGTGAGGGTGTGAATTATTCCCCAGTGAAGCGGCCAGTAATATCCGACGTCAGTTGCAGTCGGGTAGGTGTGCATATGCTGTTCCAAGGGGAGGTGAAGGAGTAAAATTTGGAGCACATCCCGTGGCCTACACCACGATAACTGATAGTGAAGTTGATGATATTGTTACGATGGGTAGAATAATGTGAGTGAATGGGCAGCAGGGGTGGTGGTGATAGTGATTGGTGGCACGCCGTCATGTGACCAAACCAGCAGTGGGCCATGCTAACTGTCCGACACTGCTTGACTCTGCACCAAACTACAACCAGCACTCACCCAGCCGAGACTCCCACAACAACCACAACCTGCACATCCACAACCGTAATTTCTAATATCACCAGATACCCGACCAGTCTGATCCGCATCTAGGATTGACAGCAAAAGTGGACGAGTTTGTTCCCGTCCCCATAACTTGGACGAAACACAAAGTGGAATATGGCATCATGTACCACTTTGGGAACAATGCCACTGAAATGGATATGCTTTCAGTTGTTCTTCGATGAACCCTGATGGACATATATTGTCAAGGAAAGCATTATGTACTTTGAGTTCACCATGGCAAAACACAATTCTTTCACACCAAGATCACGCCTCATTACACCAGTGGAGGACACAAACTGTCCAGAGTGTATCTGTTCTTTGCCACAATAATGCTTATGTCCCATGTGTATAGCACATGTCAACACATACTGGTCGAAGGACCGCCTTGATTCAACCCCAGCTCCCTTTCCGTGACATTATACCAGTGAATAGATTTGTGCTACTGTTACGCATGGCTTTACATGTTATCAAGAAATTAAAACAAGGCCTGTCAGAAAGAGGACAGGTTATGTAAGATCTAGAATATGTGTTTTAATGTACCTGATTGAAACAAAAGGTGCTATATATAATTTTTATCCTTCAGGGGAAGCTTGTTATTGATGAGTCTTTGATTTTGTTCAAAGGAAGACTCATTCAAGCAGTATATACCAAGCAAGAGGGGAAACGCTTTGGTATAAAGTTATTTGTACTGTGTGATTGCAAAAATGGTCGGTTTTGGTATAAATTGGTGTACACTGGCAGTAAAACATTGCAAGATACCAGGAAAGATTACTGGGTATCTTTGGTGATGTGGTTAGAAACAATGATAGAACCATATCTTGGTAAGGGGAATAATTTTAGTATACTGACAAACTGGTACACCAAGCCTTTACTCAGTGATTTCTTGCGCGAGGTGGAACATGACAGTGTGTGTGGCCATAGTGCGTATGTGAAATGTCATAAGCATATGCCTAGGTTCGATGCTGGCAGTCATTGAGGTGAGGTGGCAGGTGTTTGCTGCCAAATGATATATGGCATTTCGGGTGGCATGACAAACGTGATGTCCACACTTTTGACATCAGGTGACACTGACACGAAATGGTAGACAGTGGCAAGCAAAATAGAGAGACCAATGAACCCATTGTAAAACTGCAGTGTGATGGATTACAACCTCAATATGCACTTAGCAGACAAATGTGACATGCAGATTGGTTTGCTGATTGTGTTTGCAAGAGTTATAAGTGGTACATAAAACTCTTTTTCTATCTTATGACATTTCCATGCTGAATGCTTATAATATGTATAGTTGAAGACCAACAACAAACCCAAATATGGTGAATTTGTTTGTCAGTCATCAGACAATAATATTCAGTACCAAGGAACAACACTTACAATAGACCAGCGCCACAAAATTATCAACACATGTCCTCATCGTCTGAGGCCTGGTGATCACTACCCCATACCACGGGCCTGCTACTGCTCTCAAGAAAATGCTCAGAAGAGGTGTTTTGTCTGTAGACATACCACAAAATGCCCACAAAAATGCAGAGACACTCGTTTTATGTGTGAGGAGTGTAAAACACCATTGTGCTTATACCCATGTTTCGAAGAATTTCACAAGCTGCAGCAGTTCTAGAAAAGTGTCCAGTGATTGTACATATGTCTATATATTATAGAACAGTCGTAATAAACAATTTTTTATATTGCTTGTGTAAACAAGTTTTATAAACATTATGATGATACTCGTGTTTTTGCTATAATTGTGTTACATTCAACGAGTATATAAATGAACATTGCACCATACTTTGGTCTCACAGGCCACAAAATTTTATGTGAAAAAAATAAAATATGAAAAAAAAAAGAAACTGTTGAATAAAAGTAAACCAAAGTTTACCGGGTGAGCGGCAGTCGCTGCTGTTGCCATACGCGACTCATTTACTACAGGCTTCAAGCCTCTATATCTCAATAAGTACTGGTGGGAAAAAAAAATTTTGGGACTAAAACAATCAGAAAAATAATCTTAACATTTTCATAAGAAAATTTTTTTTTTTTCGAATATTTTGTGACACCAGGAGACGCTTCAGGATTGGGCCTTTCGACAGTCAAAGGGTTAATGTACATAAATTGCCGTGTAATGGAAATCGAAGAAATCAATAACAGGCTAGACAGAGACTATATTCAGTAGGGCCGCACTTATATGGCAAGTTAGATTCCAGGTTACCGCTGGAAAGCAGACATTGCCGGAAAACAGAACGCCATTTCTTCCACTTACAAATGCCAGATAACAAGTTTACACTAACATATATTAAGTTAGCAATAGAACTAGGCATTAAAAAACAACAAAAAGTAAATACACATGCAGTGCACTCATTACTTACCTTAAAATATTTGTAGTATTAATGTAGGGTGAGTGGTAAGTAGTGTTTATTGTAAGAGGTCAGGTGTGGTAAATATGGTAGTTAGGTGTGGTAGGTATGGCCACCCCACCCACGTGTAATGTACATTTAAAGCACCCTAGAACAATAAAATGCATGTATAGTACACTCATTATTTACCTTAAAATATTTGTAGTCACAATATAGGGTGAGAGGTGAGTAAACGAGGGAGAGAGAAGCGAGCAAACCAGAGGGCAGAGATGTGGAATATGTAAACGAGCAGAGGAATGCATCTGGTTTTGGTTCACACGTTCATTTCCATGTTTGTGAAGCTTATGCCATAATACATGCACCTTACATTGTGTACAGGTTCTCTTCACGTTCGTACAGTAGAATAAATAAAAAGCAACACTCCCATTCTCACGTAACGCTATTTTTAGAAGGAATAACGCTCTGAGTGAAGGCATAATATTCTATAGTTACCCCCAGTAATGCTATTGTGTATACATTTTCTTTGTTGTTAACCCTTTGACTGTCGCAGGCCCCTTTCTGAAACTGTCATTCTATGTTGCAAAATATTTGAAAAAAAAAATTATTTTTTCTTATGAAAATGTTAAGATTATTTTTCTGAGTGTTTAGTCCAAAAAAAATTTTTTTGCCATCAGCACTTACCGAGATATAGAGCTGTGAAGTTTGCAGAAAATGAGCTGCGTGTGGCAACAGCGGCAGCTGCCGCTCACTGGTAAACTTTGTTTTACTTGTATTTGAAGGTTTTTTGTTTTTTTCACTATTTTATTTTTTCACATAACTTATGTGGCCTGTGAGACCAAAGTAAGGTGCAATGTACATATATACACTCGTTGTATACAACACAATAAGCACACAAACATAATTATCAATATATTGTTTACAAAACTTGTTTACAAAAACAAACAATACAAGAAAATGTTCATTACTATTGTTCTATAATATATATACCAATGTACAGTCACCGAACATATTCCTAGAAGTTCTGCAGCTTGTGGAACTCTTTGAAACATGGTGTCATACACAATAGTGTTTTACACTCCTCAAACATAAAACCAGTGTGTGTGCATTTTTGTGGACTTTTTTATGTGCAGATGTGAGGGAAAAGTTCAATAGATAGGAGTAGCGAGGGAGTATATAGTAACAATAGTTTCATTGCCGGCTACTTGTTAAGGTAGGGTAAGTCAAGCTCCCGCTATTCCCGCCTTTTTTCCCCCACCCCGAAAGTGATAGTTTGACTGCCGGCTGCTTGTTAAGGTAGGGTCAGTCTAGCTCCCGCTATCCCTTCCCCTCCCCC